TTGTAATATTTTGTTAAATTTTTTTGTTTGGGGATTCCCTGCTGCAGTCCTACCAATAAACATTTTTTATACGGTTCTAGCATTTCCATTCCTCCATTGTTGGGGTCCCATTCGGGGTTTACTACTGGGACAACCATCTCTGGCTCTGGGGATTCTCCATCCTGTTGGTGGAGATGGTCAGCCTCCTCCCTGGCTTCCCTGAAAACCATTCTCTGCTCGTCCAGAGTCAGCAAAGTTTGAAGCATAGACTGTATATCTGCCCAGTTAGGGTGGTGGGAGAGGAAGATACAGACAAACAAGTTTGCCATCCTCTTAGGAGTTTGCTGGTATGAAGGGACAGAGCTTGTCCAATTTAGGAGGTCCACGGTGCTGAAGAGATGGTGTGACCAAAAATACCCAGCAGGTCTCCCATGTTCATTCAAGCCTCCCATCAGCATCTGTCTAGGAGGAAACTGTCCTGCCTCAGGGTGACCCTTCATGCAGAAGTGGGTGCCGCTTCTGGTGTGGGGAGGAGAAGCCATTTTTGTTTCTTCCCTGGAGGGCAGTGGGGGCTGTGAAGCCTCAGGAGTCTGCACAGGGGGAACATTGGTACAGTGAGGAGGACTCTGTCCTGGTTTGTATAAGGAATGCAACAAATGATAATCCTCCTCTTCTAATTCTGCCCTCTTGTAGTTCTCATGGGAAGTGGAAGATTTATTCCTTCTCTGTGCCATTAGCTGAGCCTCCTCCACATTCAATTTTTGGAGGGCAGCCTGTATCTGGTCCTGCATGCTTTTAAGAATTGCAAGGTTTTCCTCTCTCATACTCTGCACAGCTAAATACTCTGCACATACTCTTGCAAGCCACGCACATAAGTATATAAAAACAAAATCATGTGCCACAGCCCCGGTTTCACTAAATTATTTATGTTTATAAAACTAGTAGTGATGCACCATGCACAAAAACCAACTCAAAATGGAATAAAGAACTAGACATAAGACCTGAAACCATAAAATACATAGAAGGAAATATAGGTGAAACACTACATGATCTTCACAGACACATCACCCAAAGCAGTGATAGTGAAGGCAAAGATAAACAGCTGGGATTACATCAAATTAAAGAACTTCTGCACAGCAAAAGAGACAATAACCAAAACAAAGAGAAACCCTACCGACTGGGAGAACATTTTGCACACAACACTAATGATAAAGGACTGATCGCAAAAATCTACAAAGAGCTGATGGGACTCAACAAAAACAAAGAAAATAATCCAGTCAAAAAATGGGCAGAAGAACTAAAAAAAAACTTCTCTGAAGAGGAAATGCAAATGGCCAACAGGCATATGAAAAAATGTTCAACATCACTTGTAATCAGGGAAATGCAAATCAAAACTACCATGAGATACCATCTCACACCAGTGAGAATGGCACATATTAAAAAAACTAGGAACAACAAATGTTGGCGAGGAGGATGTGGAAAAAAAGGAACTCTCCTGCACTGTTGGTGGGAGTGCAAACTGGTCCAACCACTATGGAAGGCTGTGTGGAGATTCCTCAACCTACTAAAGATAGAGCTTCCATATGATCCAGCAATTCCACTCCTAGGTATTTACCCAAAGGACATAGACACATCAATTCCAAAGGGCACCTGCACTCCTATGTTTATAGCAGCACTATTTACAATAGCTAAGCTTTGGAAACAACCCAAATGCTCAAAAATAGATGACTGGATCAGGAAGATGTGGTACATATACACCATGGAATATTACTCAGCATTCAAAAAAAGATAAACACATGCAGCTTGAAGCAACATGGATGGAGCTGGAAGGGATCATGCTCAGCGAAATAAACCAGAAAGAAAAAGAAAAATATCAGATGGTCTCACTCATAGCAGGAATCTAGAAAACCTAAATAAGGGACTAGGAAAAAGAATAACTATGAGAAAGAAAAAAATCAAAATCAACAAACAACTATGAACCAGAGACACACTATGGGGGGAAGTGGGAAAAGGAGGGGTTGGTGTCAAAGTAAGGGGGTTGCAATTGTATGGGGAATACAAAAATAAAATAAAATAAAATAAAAACTAGTAGTGATGTTTAAGGGAAAGAGACTACATAAGGTCAAGGCCGAAAAAAACCTGAAAGAACTTAAGCAAGGATGAAATTGCTTTAAGCTCATGGTTGAAAGACAAGACAGAGCTGTATGCAAGGAGAAAAAGCTGTTCAAGACCTGGGACAAAGACTTTTACCAGTGTCCTGCCGACCTAGTGCACTTAAGGTGACCAACACAAGGAGTTACTTTGATCTGGTCAACCACAGGTGTAACTTGGTGTAGGGGCAGGAAGGCCACTGAGCAGATTTTCTGATCTGGCAGACAGAGTAAAGGAGGAGTCCTGGAGCCCTCAGTGGCTTTAACAGGCTTTTATTTAACAGCCTTTACATGTAGTGTGGCAAACAGGTACACAGCAGTCAGGGGTGCCGGGGGTGCCAGGAGGCCGGCAGGCCTCCAAGCCCCCAGCAAGTCTTCACTTGGGGCTTCTCTGGGTTCTTTTCTCCCCTTCTCTCTCCTGCTCTCCCTTGTTTCTGCTGCTATCTTGCTGACTATCTCCCATGGCCCAAATATGTAAATAAACAGCTTACAACAATGTAACAACTGCAAGTATCCCATCAGGCAGGGCAATCCTAATGGTGAGAGGGCAGAAAAGCCTGAAACACCATTTACCCTACACTTCGAAACCACCTTGGGCACCAAGCTGTTACAGGGAAACCCTGCTCTAAAATGGGTTGCCTGACTGTGGGTCCTCACCCATGTGTTCAAAAGGGACTTATACTGCAGGCCCACACAAAAGGTTAACAAAAGGTTTATTTATAAGGGAAGGAGAATGAGGAAATGTACAACTGAGGGAGAAAATAGGAAGATAAAGAGATAAAGTTTTAAATGCTGTCTGCAGGAGCAGGATAGGCACAGAGCAGGATATCTAGGATCCAAGCAGATGGGTAAAAGAGGAATCTTGGAACCCTGGGTGGATTTCTCAGGCTTTTATTGAGCTTTACATATAGTTCAGTAACCAGGTACATGGTACATGGCAGGCAGGGGTGCCAGGGGGCCAGGAGGCCGGCAGGCCTCCAGGTCCTAGGCAAGTCTTCACTCTGGGCTTCTCTGGCCTTCTCTCTCCTGCCTCTTCTCCTGCTTCTGCTTTTCTTCTGCTTCTCCTCTCTCGGTGACTATCTCTCAATACTCCTCCCATGGCCCACAGAAGCAAATAAGACAGCTCACAACAATATAACAACTGTGGTGCCCTACCAGGCAGGGCAATCCCAATGGTGTGAGGTCAGAAAAGCCTGAAAAACCATTATCCTACAGTGTCCTACCCATTCTGCCGACCTGGAATCCCAAATGACCTGCCGAGACCAAACCTGTCTGGCCAAGAGCACGAGCCCAGTGCCCGAGACCACGTAATATTGCTGTTTTTTTTTTTTTTTTTTTTAAAAACAGAGAAAATGGCTGCTTAACTCTGCCCTTAGGTCCTCACAACTCCCCTTTGGGGATCATGGGATTTGTAGTTCCCAGTGTCTTGATGGAGTGGGGGTGGCATCCACAAAGATTATATGGAGTTTGCTCAGGACATCCTTTCTCCCTAACATAGGATCTTCTCAAAATATAATTTGTTTTATAGATCAGGGATTTGAATGGGAAATCCCAAGTGGAATGCTGTTAATTCAATTTCCTGTGAGTGATTAAGATCACTGTTGGAGATGTTTCCTGTAGCTACCACCATTTCCAAAAGAAAAAGAAAAAAAAAAAAGGCAAGGAAAAGGCAAGGAAGCAGATTCTACCTTAGAGCTTCCAGAAAGAAATACAGCTACCTCAAACACCGTGATGTAAAGAGAGATCTGCATTTGTCTCCTGACCTGTAAAACTGTGAAATAATAAATCTGTATCACTTTAAACTTTTAGGTTTAATTTGTTTAATTTATAGTAATTTGTTATTGAAGCAAAAGAAAATTAATATACCTGTGGCGTCATGGTCCCATGTCTACTGCTGCTTCTGCCATCCTGAACCTTCCCTTAAATCCACTAACAAAAGGGGTAACCAATGGCATAGCTGAGTTCCCCGGAGCCCTATTCCAAAACTGTTCTGACTGGGTCATTGTAAGAAAAACGAGTTAAACTCAGTCTATATTTTGTCTTTCCCACAAAAGACATACTTTGAAATGCTGTTTTCCACCCATTGGGACATCTAGCAAACAACAGATGTGCCTGGCATTTGCAACAATGTATCAGTTGTGTGGTTATAGGCACTGAACAATGTGAAGAGGCTGGGCAGTGGGGTTGCTGTTCTGACTCTCTGAGAGCTGGAGTCTTTTTCTGTCTGCCTGTGTATACAGCCACAGTATTAAAGGCCTACAAAATCCACCAAAGGCTCCAAATTCTTTTAATCTTCGAGAACTGCCAATGAAGATACTCTTGTGGCATGGTTGCACAGTAGTCCTGTACAAACTTCACCAGTAATATTTTGATCATTACTTTTGATTTAAAGTCACCTAAATCAAGGACTTCCTGTTAGGGAGAAAGGATGTCCTGAGCGAATTCCATACAGGCTTTGTGGATGCCACTGGGAATTGGACCTCCGCTAGTGGCTCAGGCGGTTGAGCGCCGCACTGTGGAACTGTCTGCAACCTCTGCAGCGCTGGTTTGATCCTGGCTGGCTGGCCGGCGAGGGTCCCACATGGCTCAGCAGACCTCTCCTGTCACGCCCACTGCTCCCCTCAGCAGTGTATTTCAGTCAGTCTGCTTGTTCTGTTCCCTGCTCTGTCTCTGGTGAAGCCTCTCACCCTCCCATGCATCTGGCCTGTACCCCGGTTCTTGTATAAATAAATAAATAAATCTTAAAAAAAAAGACACTGGAAACTACAAATCCCATGATCCCCGAAGGGAAGTTGCGAGGACCTAAGGGTGAAGTTAAGCAGCCATTTTCTCAGTTTGTAAATAAATACCAGCCATGTTTGTGGGGTCGGGGCGCACTTGGCTCCGGCTCTTGGCCAGGCAGTTTTGGTCTCAGTGGGTCACTTGGGATTCCAGGTCAGCGAAACTGGTAATACTCATTTAAGAATTTATCTCCCTCTTTTCTCCCTGAGTTATACATTTCCTCATTCCCCTTCCCTTGTAAATAAACTTTGTTAACTTTTTGTGTGTGCCTGCAGTGTAACTCCCTTTTGAGCATTCCAGTGAGGACCCACAGTCAGGCAACCCATTTCAGAGTGGGGTTGCCCTGTAACATTCCAACTTTTTGGATTCCAGTCCACCTAGGTAAGTTATACATTTTGATTTCTACCTAGGACACATACACATATAAAGAAAGCTAATGTTTCATTAAACTGTACTTATCTTTTCTACATCACCACATGTTGATATTTTCAATTGTTATTGTTATTCTATTGTTATTCTATTTTAATGCACGGGTAGGTTGCAACCCTCAATTGAAAAACACTGTATATACTAGGTCATAATAACTACATGGTCAAGATGGAGAGTCTGCTTTATTTTCAAAGGAAGCATAAACATTTGTTCAGAATTTTAATAGTTTCTATATGTAACCTTAAGTTATTGACATTAAGTATTATTTATTAATGTACCAAAAGTGTATTCATTTCTTCAAAGTGAACAAATCCATGAGAGTTTATAAATTAAGCTTAATGGTAAAAGAGATGCACCATAGCAGGTATAGGGATTTGTTCTAGAAACGATTTCTAAGTAGATATAATTATTGGGTACTGGTATTTAGTGTTCTGCTTTTCTATTACTCAATTCGCTTATTCCTGCTTTTGTTCTTAACATTTCCCTTTTCTCACTTGCCTTTAATGCCTATTTCCTTTCCCAGATTTGTTGTTAATTTGTTGCATTTCTTTTTTCTTACTACTAGTTATACTGTAGCATTACTTCAAGCACCTACCCTTTGTTTCAGTATTCCCTTAATTTTGAGGAGTTTCAATATGCATTTCAATTATTTTGTTACAATTCAACTAGCTTTTTCTAGGTATTGGTACATTATATTCTGTGTTATTCTAGCCTTCACTTGTGTTGTGGAACGCATGACCCCTCTTACTCCCCATGGCTTATAAAAACAGATTGGTGGGCCTCCCCGGTGGCGCAGCGGTTGAGCGCTGGGTTGCGAAGCTGCCCGCGCCTTTGCGGCGCCGGTTCGATCCCCAGCTGCTTCCCGGCCACCGGAGGAGGGTCCCGCATGGCGCGCAGACCTCCCCAGCCGCCCGCTGCTCCCCTCAGCAGTGTGCTTCGGTCCTTCTGCCTGCTCTGCTCCCTGCTCTGGCTCTGGTGAATTCTCTCACCCTCCCGCGCTTCTGACTGTACCCAGTGCATGTATAAACAAACAAACAAATAAAGAAAGAAAGAAAACATGCCTCTATAAAAATAAAAAAAAATAATAATAAAAACAGATTGGTTAATCATTCACCGTCCATGTTGGTTAGGGCTCTGTTCCAGGATCCCCACTCCAGACTGTAGGCTGAAAGACCAGACTCTATGTGAATTATACCAGCTCAGGGCTGCACCACCTGATGTGTGTTAAAGCTTCTGCTCACTTGTGGGGCTCAGGTCACTTCTACACACATTCCATAAGCCAAAGCAAGTCATATGGCTGAGCCTGATGGCAGTGGGTGGTGAACAGCATCCTTTCATGGACAGGGCAGCCCATCGTAGGTAACAATGTCATCTACTCCTGCTGTCCCGCATAATACTGCAACCAGAAAGTTTTATCCCTGCATTTCTGTCAATTCAGAATTCTATTTTATTGCTGGATTAAATCTGAGTTTTAATGCATTTATTTACATTTTTAAATGTACCTTTAATTATTATAGAATGCCATTTGTCTCCCTTAATGCTTTTTGCTATAAAATCAGTTAAGCTGATCATGTTTTTGTAGATCACTGTCAGGTTACAACTACTATGCGTTACAATAATATTTTAAAAACAGCATTTTTCTAGCTTAGTCTATGGCCATACCAGTGTAAGACTTCATCTCTCTCTCAAAATTCACAAGCCCTGCATGTGCTCCTGCAAGAAGTTCTGTGGTGCCCCGGAGGCCTTTTCTTGGTACCTGTCCAGTCTGAATTCCTAGTAAACTGAGAGAACACCTCCCTGCCACCTCCAGAGTCTAGGGAACAGTGTTATTTTATACATCTCACATCTGCAGAGTCTCCAGGGATTTTACTTTTTTCTAAATTAATTGCCACCTTTCACCAGAAGTAATATAGAGCATAATCATAAAAGACTCCTAGTTGCTGGGACATGGTTGGATAGAGAATAATATGATTAATACACTGTACCAGGCTCAAAATTATTCTAAGAGCCAAAATTCTTATTTGAATAAGTTATATTTCTCTCTCTCTTTTCTCTTTTCTTTTCCCTCTCTTTCCCCTCCAAACGAGGCTCCTCTGCTGTTTATGCTGTTACTTAGATAACTAATCCCACCATGGAATCTCTGAAAACTTCAATTCCAGATTTTCATTGTTCTCGTAAAGTCATTAATTCTAAGTCTTTGCCTTTCTCTATTAAAATTTTGTTATTTTAAGATGTTTTATAACAATAATCACACACATGGCAAATAAACAATAACCTTAATCCCCAAACCATTCCTTCCATAGCTCAGGAGAACACCCCTTTAATCCCATAGCTCACATTATCCTGTGAGTTTTGTGCTCCTGCTACAGTTCCTTGGGTTTCATATTTTCCTTTCTCCTCTCCAAATATAGCTCGATTACAGAGTTAAGTTTATGATCATGAATAAAAACTAAAGAGCATACACAAAATGGACCTTATAATTAAAAAAAATAATCTGAGGTCCCAGATTTGATTTCCCAAAGGTTCCTTAACCGGTGGCTGAAGCCAAAGACTGTTATAGGGCGGTGCTGGTGAGGCTGGAGAGCCAGGGAAAATGCCAACAAAGTATAGGTGGAGGTGAAGACTCTAAGAAGAAATATAATGGGCTGCAGAAGCAGCCCCCGGGATTCAGTGTTTAGAATCGAGTGTTTGGAATTTCAGATCTTCAGGGATTCTGGTATCAGCAATTTCTGCCCCTGCCACTTCGATCTTCCAGAAGGCTGTTGTGGGCCTCTGAAGAACATAGAGAGGCTTCCAGCAGCCAACCTCAGACAGGAAAAGTTTGGAGGTTTTGCAAATAGCTGAACCACTGAAGCTGTTCCCAGTTTTGCTGCTGTTACAGCCTGGCAGGGAAGGCGAAGATACAGAGCTGGAGCCAGGTGTCTCGTTGAGCTGTGTGAGTGTGGGACATTTGTCGACTAGTTTAGCTGCTGCAGCTGCTGTTTTGAGTGTCACATGTCTAGTCTGCCCTGGGGCATCTCAGCAGCTCTGGGAGCATCTCCTGTTGTGTCTTCTGTCTTCATGAGTTGGATCCCAGCCTATAGTCTGGCTGGCATGTGCTCCGTGTCCTAGTGGCAGGAAGATGCCATCTTGGGAGCGTTCTGTTTAGGACTTTAAAACATTGGACACTGCTTCGGGTAAGGTAAATGACCACTTTTGGCCTCAGTAACACTTTGTTTTTCCCTGATTTGTTAAATAAATCCCATTATTGTTGTTCTGTGAACCTGAGTAGTCTTGTAATTGTGCGTATGGGTGAAGAACTCAGACAGTGACTAATAAACTATTTGGGAAGTGTCTTTGGTCAGTTTTAGTGCCCTTTGCTGCTTATATCATATCCACTTTTAATAACTTGTGTTTTAATACTTTTTTTAAGTGAAGTAATATTATCTTATAACATTATATAGGTTTCAGTATATTGCTTCTGTAGGGTAAATGGAAGTTATCAGGTTTTTTCCACCCTCCCACCATTAGCATCAATTATCGACACCTGTGGTCTTACACGTGTGCCTGACGGCAGCACCTGGAGTGTCGTGTGTGCGTGTGTGAGTGGGTGCACCTGAGTCAAGAGCTGAGCATATAAGGGCAGTGTCACAGAGGATTAGTGACAGAGGACCATGCAACAGAATGCAGCAGAGAGCAGTGGAAAGCATCAGAGAACAGCTAAGAGAGGAAAAAGCATATAGGGATTCACAGGGGGGCCCAAATTGCTGTCTCCCTGCTGGCTTGTTTCCACTGTGTACTATTAAGAAACCTGTGGCAATGACACCAAGGGCTCCAAGGTTCTCTTTCAAGCTGCCTGAACCAATGATGAACCTACCTGGCCTGGGATAGTTGAAGAACAGTTTCTTAAATCAACATCTATATATAGTACCTATGCTTGCCACCAGAACTCTAGCATCCACAACTACCACATAGTTGGTGCCTGATTTACCACCCCCGTCCTCTTTTCCTTCTGATAAGCATTCTTTTATTTCTATCATCTGTTTAAAGTTCTTTTTTTTTATTTAGTTCATTTGTATTATTTCTTTATATACTGAATATGAGTGAAATCATATAGTGTTTGTCTTTCTCTGTACTTAATCCTTTCTGGTGGTGACTTCCTTAATTCCAAACAATGGAGCTTTACAGCCAGTTTACTGATAAATCATTCAGTAATGCACCACGTAACTACATTTCAGTAAATGACAGCCCACATATAAGGCACTGGCCCTAAAATTCCCCTTGCCTTGTGACATCATGTGCCAACATCATAGGATTGTGTGAGTTCCTCATTAGCAGCATTTCCCCCTGTGCTTGATTTAATCTTGTATTTTTTTTAAAGATTTATTTATTTATTTATACAAGAACCAGGGTACAGTCAGAAGCGCAGGAGGGTGAGATAATTCACCAGAGCCAGAGTGGGGAACAGAAAAGCCAGACTGACGAAATACACTGCTGAGGGGAACAGCGGGCAGAAGGAGAGGTCTGCGCCATGTGGGACCCTCTCCGGTGGCTGGGGATCGAACCTGTGTTGCAGAGGCTGTGGGCAGCTGTGCAACCCAGCGCTCAACCGCTGTGCCACCAGGGGAGGCCCTAATCTTGTATGTTTTTCATCATGACCCTTGAGTGTACAAACCCACTGCTAATGTCGCATGGTACAATGACGAAATGGCCTAATGACTCATTTCTTGGAACTGTCCCCATCTACAAGCAACATGACTGTAAGTAGATTAGTTCCCCTTTCCCAGTTCTTTCTGTAGCCTCCTCCAGCTTATTGTGCTGTACCATTCCTGCCACATGACAAATGTTAGCATCTGGCGTCTCCCTGGTGGTGCAAGGGGTTAAGACACAACCTATGAAGCTGTCCGCGGCCTTTGCAGCACGAGTTCGATCCCCTGGCCACCCAGGGAGCAACCGACATGGCGCAGCAGACC